TTGGCATTTGCAGTTTACCTTGGCATTTGCAGTTTACCTTGGCATTTGTAGTTTAGTCAAACCGGGGCCGATCACCATATTTTAAAACCAAATATTTGAAATCGCCATTATTAGCTATAAAAATCAAAAATAAATATAATTTATTTTTAAAAAATCGGGCCGGGTCTGAAAATTATTTTAAAAAAAACCCGGGCCGAAAATTTTTAAAAAAAAAATCTGTGCCGTGCTCTGCAAATGGTACCTCAGCAGGGCTCTGTTATTCTTCTTAAAAAAGAGAGTGTTCTCTCATTAGTTTACTAATGGGAAGAGTTGCTAATATATAACCATCAATACATTGGGAATATAATCTAAAATGTGTTTGAAATAATGCAAAGCATCCATAGCATTTTTTGGGACTGTATCACATAGTTAATCTTTTAATCATGGTTATTCAGCTAGTAAGGCATCATAAGATATTTTAACATCTTCATGATAAAAATCTAACAAATATATTTTTTTTTCTATCACCATCTGAAAAAGGTTGGAAAGGCTTTTGTGGAAGTAATATCTGCGGATTTGTAAGTGCGGAAATTTGTTTTATAATACTCTTTTACTGATCCTATATTAATGTTTTGACGATGAGTTTGCTTGCTGCAAGTCGAGGGGGGCAAATATTAAACACGTATAGCTCTGCTTTCGACTCAACAATAACATATAAAATAGGAAATTCTTCATCAACATTAGCTTTAATTTCTTTGAGTTCTAATAAAATGCTCTCCGCTATTCTCATCTTCTTAATCAAGTCAATGTCATGTTTTTGAAAAGTATTACATAAAATAGTTGTATAATTAAATTATACATTCTAATGAGAAAAAAAATTTGGAATAAGTATTGAATCCAATAATTTTCTTGCTTCTGAGGAAATATTTCTTTCAAGCCATTGTGATATTTCAATAATAGCATTAATAATAGGCTCTTCTAACTCCATAAAAGCTGTTACTGCTTGATGGCGTAGACTCCATCTCGTTGGACAAGCTTGCAATTTCTTTCTCCCTGTTGGACAAGGAGTTTCAGAGATAATTATTATTAGACTAGAAATTTAGAAATAATACGCCAATAAAATTTGAAAATAATAGGTAAATTACGCCAAGGAAAACTTGAAATCAAAATTAATTGATAAAATAACTTAGTAGATAAATGTGATAAATAAATGCAATTGAATATATATATGAGATAGAATAAACATTAAAAAATATAAATTAATATTAACAATAATATTTTTGAAAAATATAATCCGGCATCTGCATTTTTTGGCTTGGGGGGGAGGAAACTTGTCCACCTTCCCCACCCCCGCTGCGTACGTGCCTGATAAAGATGTTTGTGTTATAGTTATTAAAGGTGATGATTTATAAATTTATAGTTAACAGAGCAGTTACTGGTAAACTAAATCACTGACAACTGTGACAGATCAAAAAAAGAAAAAAGGAACATAAAATTGAAATAATGCTATTATAAGACAATTAAATAATTTTAAGATTGATGAAAAGTACTCTAATTGAAAATATTCTGTTGATGTTGGAATTAAATTCTTATTAAAGATTTAGGTTTAACTTATCTTTTATTTAAATATTTAGTAAAATATTAGGTTGTTGATTAACCAAAATCTTCAGGATGAGAAAAGGCGTTCATCATTAAAAAAATTCATATCGCAATCGAGCTCAATTAGAGATAGGAATTTATTTTGGATCATTAATAAAATTTGAGATCAATTATGCAACATTATTGTAATAATAGTAGAAAGAAAAATATTTAGAAATATATATGTCAGTTGCTTTTCAACAACTTGTGTGCGGAAACAATAATGAATAGATTTCATTAGTTTGAAAACAACGTGTGTGTGAAAACCATACTAATTAGATTTCACTGGTTAATCAACAACTTGTGTGCGAAAGCAATAATGATTTGATTTCATTGGTTTTCCAACAACATGTGTATGAAAACTTTAATGATTATAAAAGGTCGTTTTCAACAACGAGGGTTCGAAAAATTATAATGATTATTGTAGAGATATATATTTCCGTGGTTTTTTAACAACGTGTGTGAACCTCGAGAAAAATATATTTTGGTATCTTTATATTTAGAATTAAGAGTTAAGAATATTTAGGTTAGCATTAGACATGGTTGACAAATAGTTGATGATCAATAGCTAAAGGACGATGATAGACAAATGGTTCAGTAAAGATATGGGGATAAGATACTTTAAGGGTAAAGGGATGGTAGAATTTGACATAATTATATAATTTATTTGCTACATTTTGTTTTGACTATATATAATATAATTAAGATTTAATTTAAGAGAAAAATATGACAAAATATTTTAGGGATTATGAGAGAAGTTAGGCAATTTAAAAGATTATTTAAGGTGGAATTAGATTAGATGCGATAACCCTAGACCTTAAGACAAATTTGACATATTTATACAATTTATTGGTATATTTTGATTATGTATTATAAATTTAAGCTAAGAGAAAAAGTGATTAAATATTTCAGAAATTACGAGAGAAATTATTCAATTTAATAGATTATTTTAGGTAATATTAGATTAGATGAGATATTTTTACATTACGTCAAGATCAAGTTAGGATAAAAAAAACAATCGACGATATCTAGACAAAAGCAAACTATAGTAGAAGACACGAAAGTCTAAGTGTTTGATTGAGCAGCAAACTAGAATTAATCTATAATCGTTTAAAAAAATAGTTAATCGGTTAAAAGCTATCGTTAGAATTTACGAATCGTGAATGGAGAAACAAGATCATAAAAGTAGGGATTGAAGAAAATTTAGGCGGTTAAAGAATGGTTGGTCTAATTTAAGTGAAAGGGTGTTGTGATATTGTATATGTAAACTTAATTTTTCGTATATTTGCATGAATAATTTATTTGGTTAAAGTTTTTTTGAGATAATTTATATTAAACATGTAAATGAATGTTTATAATGTAATTTGGTAAATTTTTACGAGAATAGATATTATAGACTATGTAAATTTTAATTTTTTAGAAAAAGATAATTATCTTTTTATAATACTATTTGGAGATTACTGATCATTTGTACATTTTTACCGCATTTTATTTTTTGTATATTATTTGTACTTTTTTTTACTTAATTGTAATTTTTTTTTATAATTTTATTTTAAGTTTCTTACTTATATTTGTAATTTTATTATTTACCGATGGAATTATGTGTTATCAATAAAAAGGGATTAATAAAATTATTATTTATATGTATTTTTATTATTATTAATTAAAAGCAATTATATTTTACAGATACTTTTTCTTCTTACAATGGTAACCTTAAAGTACAATTAATTTAATATTATAAAATATATACTAGCAATTACATAATTACTAATTATATACAATTTTAAACCATCACTTCGATAAAACAAAGGGAATCAAAATCCCATTCTCACTTTTATGAATAATAATCAATTGACATATATTCAACTTGCATAACTTATAAGATTGTCATATGATATTGTATAAAATTGAATATAAAATCCACGAATCTTAATTTAAACATTTCTTAAATTTTCTTATGCTTGTCAATAGTTTTATATTTTCTTCTATTTGCTTCATTACAATGGTTACTCATATCTTTAATTATACAGGCAGTAGGGGAGACTGGGGTTAGTCGAACCAATTTTTACAAAATTGGCCATAGTTCCTGTTTTTTTAGATAATATAATAAATAAAATATGATTAGATACCTAGATCTATATACTCTATAAAGGCGCCTTATAAAAAAAAAGAATATAATCAATTTTTTTTAATTTTATTTTTTGTAAAAATGAAAATTTTGTCCAACAAGCCCCAATAGCGCGGTGAGGCAAACCACTTGAAGGGGTTTCCTAAACCATTGGTTTTTTAGGCCATAATAAATTGAAATGCATTTTTATTTATTAATAATGATACGTATAGAATAATTTTATTGTTTTATTGTTCAAAATATCTACTTATAAATTAAAGCTAATTATATATAACAATTGAAACTTAATTTTGGTTAATTTAATAAACATTTTGGACATAAAAAAATAAGGATTTTAAGGTGAGATTATGATTTCTTAGCATAAATCCTAAATACCACTCATAAAACAATCATGAAATTGCCTTTTCAAGATTTTAAATTTTTTTTTCAATATTAACTGACATAATTGACGTGTATGGTTTAGCAAGCCCGGCTACCTCTAAATTGACAAATTATGATTGAAATAATATCTAAATATAATAAATACTCATAAAACTTTTCCAAATTATAGAAGAGTGTTTAAACTTTGCTAAAAAATTTAATTTACATATAAATGATTATATATTTTAATAAAATTAATATTCTGTCATGTAAAAATTTTTGAAAATTTCATCAAAATTTCATTTCTTAAATAAAATTTTTAATAATTAAATATGTTAATCGAGATTGACTTTTTAAATTTTATTTAACTTAAATTGTTTTTATTTTAAACATGTTAGCCTTTAACTATGTATTTTGTTTAAATTGTTTTTTTTATAACACACATATATATATATATACCTTATTTTATATTTATTTTTAGTATCATTTTTAGTTTTAGAATAAATTTATTATAAATAAAAAACCACCGATATCTTTCACCACCGTTATCTCTATATAACATGTTGCCCCGCTTTGTATGATAACTCACGCACAATGATATATAAAAAAATCTCATATATATCGTGCATATGCCGTTAAATATAAAAAATAAAATCTTTTTTTGGAATTATGTAATAAATTATAAAAATTATTCGATATAAAGGACACATACAAGGTCAAAAAAAAATTTATATGACTTTACAACGACAATATATATCTTTATGCTAATGTAAATAAAGTTTTAAAATAAAAATTTGCTATTTGGATAAAAAAAAGAAAAAGTTACATGACTTTATAGCGACAATATATATCTTTATGCTAATTTAAATGAAGTTTTAAAATAAAAATTTGCATTATGGATGATAAAATTAGCATATCCTCCAACAGTGAAGTTAAGTTCCCAAAGTTGGAGAGATGCTTGACGGACATATATTTGGAGAGACTTGACGATTATTTCTCTCAAACAATTTTATCCGACTCAGTAAAAATTGAAACATTGATGAGAAATTTATCTGATGACCTATACGATAAAATTAAGTCATTATGTACTAAGGAAGATATCAAAGATTATAAAATTAATATTTAAAAATTAAAATTTTTATTACCCATCAAGATGTTTGGATATTGACTGGGAAGTTTAACCTTGCTTTACAAGGTGTTAATGAATCTTTTTTGGTTTGGTTTTTTAGACTGTCTAAATTAAGTAGACAATGTAATTTTATTAATGATGATCGCCTAAAAGAAAAATTGAGAACATCTAGTTTAAATGACAATATAAAAAATTAACTAAATAAAAATATTAACTACACATTAGACGTAATGATTGAAATAGGAAGAAAATTAGATAGTATTAACATTAAATCAGAAAGTGACAATGTTAATTATGTTTTTAGTAGGGATAAAAAGTTTAATAAAAATAATGACAATAATAGAAATAATGATAAGAATTTAGATATCCAAAGTACTTCTAATAGGAATGAGATTAATAGTAACTATAATAGACCTAATTATTATTCGAGGCAAAATTTTGACAGTAGGAATAGAAATTATGGTGATAACAAATTTAGTAATGTTAACGACAACAGGAATAGGAATTTTAGTAACGTTAGAAACTATAACAATTATAATAATAACAACTATAGAAATAATCAGCATAATGATAGTAACTATCAAAATTACAATTATGGGTATAACAATAGCAACAGAAATTTATAATAATCATCATCAATCTTATAACAACAACTATGGTAGGAACAACGCCTAGTTTAATCATAATCAGAGGAGGCAGATTCAATGTGACGATCAAAATCATAATAATTACCGATCTTATAACAACAATTTAAATAATTATGAAGGAAACAACAGATGGCATAATAAGGATAACCAAAGAAAACAAATCGAATATGAAGATCGTTATCGGTGGAAGGATTTTAATCAAAGAAAACAAATCCAGTATGATAATCAAAACTTCTACGATAGCAATAATTGTAATATGAACATTGAAGAAGTTGGGGAAATAAAGTTGGCACTGCCAAAGACAATAATGAGAATGATTTAAATGTCAACAACCTGGCTGAAAATACAGACAAAGGTGATGACAGTGCTTTTATGACTACTTTGAAATTAAATAATGTTACTACTACTATGCAGGTTGACACTGGATCAAAGTATACCATCATACCTCATGATATGGCTAAAAAAATTGGTATAAGAGAAATAAAGAAATCCAGTTTGCGGCTTACACCCTATGACGGAAACTTGATTAAGATCATCGGGACAACTCAAGTTAAAGTAAGTTATGAAGGAATCACTAAATATTTACTAGCAGTAGTTCTAGAGTCGAGAAAGAACGCGTTATTAGGAAGAATCTGGATCAATGCCTTTAAAAATATTTTAAATAAATTCATAAGAAATGTCGACACCAATTATGAAGACGAAATCAATAAACTTATTAAAGATTGTTAATCCAAATTGACTAGCAAACCAATTAACAAAGTAAATCTCAAATTACAAGATGTGACGCAAATAATACCACCAAGACGTATACCGTATTCAAAGATTGATCTTGTGGGCGAAGAACTGAATAGATGGATACACGAAAAAATTATCAAGTTCCGATCGATAAAAATAGAAGAAAATTTTTGACTATATCTACACATAAGGGATACTACCAATTTACCAGACTTCCTTTTGGGTTGTAAACTTCATCTGCTATATTCCAACAAATCATGGATCGGATTTTCGGTGATATGAAAGATGACATATTTTATATTGATGACTTATTAATAACTGGAATTAACGATGAAGCACATTTAAACAACATCAAAAAGGTCTTTGAGAGAATATTATCGTACGAGTTAGTACCTAACTTCGCCAAAAGTTTATTTTTAAAAAATAAAGTTAGGTCCCTAGGTCACGATATAGATGACAAGGGGATTCATGCTAACCATGATAAAATTGAAGCAATAATTAATATGCCAGAACCAAAATCAGCTGCTGAATTGTCAACATTTCTGGGAATGGTTGGTTATTATAGAAAATTTTTGAATAACTTCGCTAATATTGCTGATCCGTTGTACAAAATGGTCAACAAAGAAAGATGGGGATGGAACTTAGAACATTCCAGAAGTTTTACTGATTTAAAGAAATTGATTAGTCTCCCGCCAGCACTGACTGTCACAACGACAAGTTTGTCATTGTGCATCAAAACCTAAATATAAAAATAGAAAACAAATATATATATAAAAAGGAAATTAATAATAATTAGGAATCACGAAATCATAAAATGAACTTTAATTCTTTATTCAAAATTATAATAGTAAAAATCATAAAAAAATAAAATAAAATAAAATATAATTAAAAAAATTAATAATTTAAAAAAAAACATATAAAGTACAACAAAATCCAAAAGAAATCTTTATGCAAATTATATCTAACATTTACAACACCTCCCTACTTAAATTAGACCCAACATTCTGCGAATAATCAATTTTCTTTCGATCTCGACTTATTCTTCTTAATTTTTGCTGTCTTCTAAGTTCTAACGAAGGCTTTGGCGCTTGAAATTTTTGAATTCTATCTGTCGCTTGTCACCCTGTGAAACGATCAGCTTTTTATCGCTGTAAGCCACTGACGAACTTGATACACGCCTGTTTTCCACTATCCACGATTGATAACGATTATCGATGACATCCAGTTTCCTTTCCTCTCTTGTTTTTTGCTAGTCTGTCTTAATCTTTTTTACAATTTATCGTAGCTTGTTTCTTATCAAGACTAAAGTCTCGGAATAATTGGCTATTATTGGTCAGCGATTAACGATTGCAGCATAACGTCTTGACCCTACTTTCTATCAATTCGCTTGTTTTCCCCTTTCTCTTGTAATTGATTGGTTGTTGCCTCTAATTCTTGTAATCGTATCTATCTTTCAGACTTCCGGGTCTTCTACGACAGTTTGTCCTTGCTGAGATATCGGGTAATCAAATCTAATCTACTTCTACCTAAAATAATCTATTTAAATAACTTCTGCAATATTTTATCCCTTTCTTATATTTATTCTCAAATATAAACTACCTAATACAAATGTACTAATAAAATATAAAATTATACCAACCTTATCCTAATGTCTACATTTATCTCCTCTAAACTAATTCTGCCTTTAATAAATGGCGTAAATTATACTAAATCTTAAATTTATAATACGTAGCAAAATATAATAAATTATATAAATATATCAAATTCTATCACCCCTCTCCCCTTAATGCAGCCTAGACCCATATTTTCAATGAAAAATTTACTTGTACTCATCCTTTAGCTATTGATCCTCATCTTCTTTTCAGCCATGTCTATACTAAATTTATATCTAAAAATCCTATTCTAAAATATATATCAAAACATATCTTAAAAAAATTATCATTGTGTATTTATTTCCTCATGTACTCTTTGACACTCAAGTCTTTAAAAAAAAACTGCTGAAATCTATAAATCTCTTTTCATACATACGTTGTTGAGAAATCAATGACATCTAATCATAAAAGTTTTCATACTTACGTTTATGAACAACCTCTTAACTCTAATCACTATGGTTTTCACCCCACGTCTTTGAAGAACTTATGAAATCTAATCATTATAATTTTTCGCACAACCGTTGTTGAAAACTGATATGTATATTTCTAAAGCATGTTTTTCCTTTTGTATTATTAGAATAATATTGTATGATTCTTCTTAAATCTTATTCATGATTCAAAATAAAAATCCGATCTCAAATTGAGCTCGATTGCGGCATAAATTTTCTAATGACGAAAAGCCGATTCTCTCTATGAAGATTTTTTGGTTAATCTACAACCTAATATACTAATTCACATTAATCCTTGAGGCTGTTTTATCTCTCGCAGCCCTTAAAATAAAAGTTAAACGTAAATCTTCAATAAGAATTTAATCAACTATTTCCTAACAATAAAGTTATATTCTAATCTTATTCACCGAATTTTTTAATTATTATATCTCAGCAACCTATTAGTTAAATATTAACTTTCGCAATTTATGTTTCTATTTCTTTGTCAAAGTTATTTCTAGTGATCACTTGATAATAATTCTAAAATCTAAAATATCATAGTCTTTATTAGTTTCAAAATTCCATTGGTTTTTAGTTTACCAGTAACTTCTAAATATAAAATTCCCAATTATCACCTTTAAATAACTAAACACAATTATCTCCTACTATGAATTTTACCTTTGTCTTTAATTTTAGATTTTATATTCCTACATAAACATAATCTTAACAACATAATTTTTCCTTTTCATCTTTATTTACATATTTTCCTTACGTTCTTCTGGAATTTTTTTTTTGTATTAGAATACAGTTTGACACATCTCCTTGTTGTCCCACCGGTCACAGACTGAAGGTTGTAAAGGGCCGGTCTCCTCCGCTCTCCAACACCATTGTCACAACGACAAGTTTGTCATTGTGCATCAAAACCTAAATATAAAAATAGAAAACAAATATATATATAAAAAGGAAATTAATAATAATTAGGAATCACGAAATCATAAAATCAACTTTAATTCTTTATTCAAAATTATAATAGTAAAAATCATAAAAAAATAAAATAAAATAAAATAAAATAAAATATAATTAAAAAAATTAATAATTTAAAAAAAACAAAGATTATTTGTATCGTAAAAATTTGCCTTTTTATACTCTTTTCAATCTTCTTATAACTAATCATAACTATTCAAATATAATCTTTTTATCACGCGTTATAACAATAAATCCACAAAAATTCTTTATGCAAATTACATATAAAGTACAACAAAATCCAAAAGAAATCTTTATGCAAATTAAATCTAACATTTACAACACTGACGTATTTCCGGAATTACCTATTGGGATTGCGACTGATGCATCCAAATCTGGATTAGGGGCTGTACTATTTCACACAGAGAAAGATGGCAAAGAAAACCCATTGCTTTTGCGTCTAAAACCGTAGCAAAATCCGAAATAAATGACACCAATATTGAGCGTGAGGCTCTTGTCATAATGTTCGCAATTAAAAGATTTCAAGAATATTTGGTTGGGACTAAATTTACTATCATCACGGACCATAAACCACTAGTCCACATTTTTACCAAGGGACTCAAGGACAATAGTACCATGTCCTTAAGGTTATAAAAGTGGAATATCACTTTGGAGGGTTACGATTTCAACATAAAGTACAAAGCAGGTAAATACAATGTTGTCCTGACTGCCTCTCGAGATTGCCACAAGAATGTCATGATGAAGTTGTGAAAATATCACTATAATAAATGACTATGGGGATTTACCTATCAATTTCAATCAAATTCGTGATGAAACTTTGAAAGATATTGAATTAAAACAAGTCATAAATGATATTAAGAACAACAGGCCTATAAAAAATGATATCTATAAAAACATTGAATTAGAATTAAGTATAATTAAGGATTGTCTTTACAAAAGCAACAACATAATTCCATCTTCTATGAGAAAAAATGTACTACAATCATTACATGATGGTCACTTGGAAGCAGGAAGAATCAAATCCTTAGCCAAAGATCACATGTGGTGGTCTGGTATAAATAATGATATAGATGTGGAAGTGAAAAGTTGCGACGATTGTAACATATATCATGATAATCCTAAAAAGATACAAAAACCATGGGTTTCGGCAACCAAACCATTTGAAAGGATACACATAGACTATGTGGGTCAGTTCTTCACAAGATATTGGTTGACAATAGTCGATTCTTACAGTAAGTTTCCAATCATTGTTTAAAAATATTATGACCGATGTTACTTTAAAAGAAATTTTTAAAACTATTTCGTTATATGGAATACCCGAAACTATAGTCACCGATAATGGCACTAACTTCACAAGTAGTGATTTTGAAAAATTTTGCAGTGATTATGGTATCAAACATGGGTTCACATCTTATCATCAGCAATCCAATGACCAGGTAGAACGCATGGTAAGAACGTTCAAAACACATATGAAAAGAAATATCAAAATTGACTTAGACATCGCACCTGACAAATTTTTATTTAATTACAGAAATACGCGTAATGACACTACAGGAGTTACACCGTCTAAGAGAATGTTCAATCGTGATATTAGAGTTAAATGGGACTTATTGAGACCTTTGAAGGAGAAGGAGAATAAAATTAACGTTACTTTACCACGAAATAGAACCTTTAATATAGGAGATTTTGTTTGGTATAAAGTACAAGGGAATGACATGTGGGACAAAGGGACAATTAATTTGAAGGAAAGCGACACTATGTTCCAAGTCTATACAGAAAAAGGTATTACAAGGAAACACCTGGACCAATTAAGAAAGAGAGAATGCTATAACACATTTGCATACCATGACTCTCCTAAGAAGGACGGAAGTGAGGACAAAAATATTAAAACGAATGATAAAAATATTTTAATACCGACTCCTAGACCGAT